CAGCGGCATCGGCGCAGACGCGGTGACACCGCGCGACCACACCGCTGTGCAGCAGGTCGGTGCGGGCGCGGGCCGCGGGCGGGGGGCTTCACACATACATACCACACACACAAACACTAAACATGCTTACTTGCTTACTTGCGGATATTTTTATGTTATGATTTTTGTCGATTATAGATTTTTAAATCATTTAAAATAAACTACGGGTAGGTACAGAACCGAGTTTATCATACAAACTTGTTTATGCACCTCAAAAGATTAGCAATTACAAATTAGCAGAACTTATCCATCAATCGTAACATTTCGCAAACAAAAGCACGGCCATCGATGAATTTACTACTCCAGAAGCCCACCCTCGCGTACCTTCGTGCTAATTTATATTTCTACTTTGTGTGCTTATTAGGTATTTAAATTTATGTCTGTTCGCATGACTTGTTATGTTTTGAAATTTAAAATATTTGTTTTGATTGTGACTCTTGTCCAGCTAAATGACAAATATAACATAAGACACATGGAACATCAGAGTTTAAGATGATCAATAACTCAGAGGTCAAAGCTATGACTCTTTGTTGTAAAGTAAAGTTTTTAAAATCATCGATGCATAGGGTTAAATGAAGTGTCTCCATAATCGCAGTTCAGCATAACCAATAGAGGACTAACTAGATAAATAGCTAATAAGAAAATTTACGTCTATTCTCAACTAAGAAGAATCTATCGCTGGTAAATGATAACATCATTTTTAACATTTTCGTTCCTAAAGGCAGCATAACAAGCGATAGTATAATTATCGTCAATTATTATATTTGAAACAGTTATAAATTTAACGTAACCGAGATGCCCAATAATTACTTATTTGATTTGTTTTTTCATCCAATATGAACGTATTGTGTCTGATATAAGGAAGTCGAATACGATAATCGAGCTAGGTTTTTGTTTATTTATATGTCAGATAAATTGTTATTCAACAAAGATCCAATTTATTCCATCTCCATCGAAGCATTTATAAAGTCACGACATTGCGACCTTCTGCGAGACATATTTAAAAGCCCCTTCCATTTTACTACATATTTCTGAAGTATCATATTAAAATAACAAATTGGCATGACTATAATCGGGCCGGTAGCTGAGTTATATAGAAGGATTTGCACCTCCAAGGCGCGGCTATCACGAGCCGAGCCTGCCTACAATACTATCTTGTTTGAACATTTATCTTTTGTTCTACTGCCTTAGAATCGACTCTAGTATAATGTTGACATTAACAGATTAGATGAATTAATTAAATTCAAATCATGTCATTTATGATTCTGTTTTGTTTCACGTTTGAAATAAACGTTCACCTGTGATGAATTTCTTTACATATCATATACACGTCTGTGGCGAAATATTCAAGTTCTTTGCCAATTAAAAATAATTTAACATATCGTAAAATTAATGCTAAGTAGTATTATTATGCTTAAAAGTCGTTAAGTTTATTGATATCATTGTGAGTCGATTGTACTAGGAAACGATGACGTAATTATACTAATATTTTAATAATTGTAACCATTATCATAAATTACGTGGTAGTTAAATTTAATATATTGTTACTATGATATGAAAAAAATCCCACGACAGCTCCGGTTTTTTGTTTTTGTTTTAGAGTAATTTTATACAAATATATCAAAACAACAAACAAACCTGTGCCTACCATTCCGTTACTTAAGTTCAGAAAAACAAGTATTTTATTCCTTCCTGCTTCACAACAACCGATATTATTTGAGTTAAACGAGAAATCTTTCGATATACGCATATGTTGTGATTTGTGGAGATTTCTGTTTCAATTTGTTACATATAATGAGACATAATATCTCGAATAGTGGATATATAGAATTTTTGTTAATTACATCAAATAAAATGTTTATTTCATTTTAATTACATTTGACAACACATTGCGTCTTCCCGGAAAATATTATCATTATAAAAGATTCATATTTCACATCTCTCATATATTTAAAAAATACTATACTTTTTAATACAATGCTTAGTATGAAAGAAATATTTTAATTTTGTGTTAAACAATTCACCGGCTTAAAACTATTTATCTATGTAAATATACTTAATTTCTAAACGTTATAAACGGAGTTTTCCTACTTTTAACTCCACCTACGAATATATTTATGTAAGAATCCGCGTGTATAATATAAACGGTAAACACATTTCCACATACATATTCTATCAGATAAGTGATAAACGTTAACCTTTAGGGTTATCAGAAATGCGATCGAGGGGACGAGGATGGAAACTACTGTGAATGATTGAAATTAATCATGCGAGAGAAAAAAAACGACTTGTGTGATACGGCCTCCAACCTGCCATACTGGTTGCTGTTCGGACTTGAGTCTCGTTCATACCTAAATAAAAAATCATTAATGAAAAATTTGTCACGATAGTGTTCGATTAAGTTTGAAGATGTCGTTATGGTAATATTAAAATATTAAAATTTATAATACATATAGCCATTAATAATTTTCATAACTGTTATGACTTATTTTTGCAATTAATTTTTGGAATCGGTTTTTTCGATTTATGTATTGTATAATAACCTTATTAGTGTATTTTTATTCAAAAAAGAAGTAGACGATTCTAAGAAGACATGTGTACCTACACATACCTATTCCAATAAGAAAATTTTACGAGCACTTATTTTGGTTAATGTTGTTAAAAATGTTGCATATGGATTTAATACAAAAAAGTTCACAATAACTAAAGTAACTTGAATGGTGTGTGCTGTACGTTAGAATTTCAGATTTTAAATAAAGGTAAAAGGTATTATTAGAATAAAATAACTATTATACATAAAGAAGAAATTTGGACCTTTACAAAGTAAAATTAGATGTTTGTTTTGAGTAAAATACCTGTAATAAATAAAAACAAAATATATTAAAGATACATAGCTAATATCAACATGCGAATATCACATCAACACGCGATCAAATTGCTCGTGAATTTTTCATAACTTGAATTAATTTAGTAACCAGCTATTTATATCTTACCTTATTCAATCCTAAAACTCATATTGATCTAGCAAACTGAGTACCGAACTGAAAATTGAATTAAAACTATTTAGTACACTAAATCAGAACAGATTTTTTTGAACGGAGATTTTGTAACAGATGTTTATGTTTTGATTTTCAGATTTAATGCTCTATAAGCATTTATTTTTAAATACTTTGGGTGTTTTGGTTCCATATTGGTTTGAATAAACTCTGGTGAAATGTGTATCTACGCGTATAATTGTATCTGCTTGTTACACGCAACATGGATTGTTATAATAAACTAAAGTGTAGTATGTTTACAATTATTTTAATTAGAGAAATGTTATCCCACACAGTCATTCGAGTACACGGTGATCTGCCAGCAGCCGGGCGTGGGTGAGGACGGCCGCGGCACCCCCTCCGCACACCATTCCCCCGCGCAGGCCCCCCGCACGCGCCCCTGGCACGACTTCGGCCGACAAAATGATGCAGACAAGATACAAATCGCCAAACTGTAAGTACTACAAAACTAAACGTCCCTTTTGGATAAATTATTTCAATAACATTCTTTTTCTCATTCTCGCATAAATTACTTACCAATTCGAATTCTTCAAGCCCGTATTTACTCGTAACGTCAACACGTAATCGACTGTGGAATGTTTATATGTTTAAATAATGTTTTAAAATATAAAGTAGAAAGTGGTCTCTATAAATTGTACATTTATTTGCTACCCTTGACATTTACTGCAAATTCATTGATTTCATACATAAAATCGATTAAAGCATGTGTGAATTTACAAGCTATTTTATTAACGAAGGATCGGGTTTGGATTTTCATTTTCGTAGCTACCAAATTACACAAAAGTACATATCGTACCGAGTACCAAGATTCAAAAATAGAATAGTGAATACAGCAAAGCATTCAGCTACTTTCCATTACTAGAATTAAAAGCTTATCGTTCAATGTTTGAATATAAACTTCTTCTAACTTTCCGTTATTCGCCGGCTACATTTAAATATCCACTAAGAAACTTCAACATTATCCATTCGAGTAAATGTGCTTACAGAATCTACCTGTTTTGCCATAAACATAGTGCGTTATTTCCACGCATATTAATGACGGGCGCTACAGTAGGTACACTTACGCTCGCCACTAAGTAATGTGGGGACTAAGTTACTTGCGACGTTAAGAAAAATATTCACTCAAGATATGACAGCGTTAAGACGATTTAAATCAACAATGTTATTAAATTACCCAGAAATGTTTCACTAAATAATTCCTCGTATAATTAATCTAATAATAATTGTTACGCAATGATAAAACTGTTAAATGCCTATAATTATAAATTCTATGAAATTTGTAAGTAACAAAAAATGTTTTAATTATTAACTTATTCTTAAAAACGCGATTGTTAATATAATAAAAAAAATATTATGTTACGTTATTTCTCCATAAAAGGAAACATAAGTCGAATATCATCGTTATTAGTTAAAACATCGAGATGAAAATAAATTCTTCAATTGGTAAGTTGACGGCAGACCGTTAATAAAAATGATTCACGGTCCGCCTGTAAATGGTTAGCGTAAACACCTAAAACAATTTGATTACCGTCGTTCGATACCCGCTGGCTGAGAATAGGAGGAAACTGCCAGCGACCTGAACAAGCTTATTGACCGACCACTTCGCACCTCCAGACTATCTTCGATACGCCGGCCCTTTCTAGGAAAAACATCAGACGAACACACGCAGTGTTACTTAGAATAAAAATACATCAGTTGTAACGATAAAAGTAAATTACATTTACGTTACTAATTTAGAGATATTATCTGTAGCTATCCTATTATAAACTTTAACTTCCATCAGTATTTTTGAATAGCTAAATTACTTCATGTTTCTGCTGGGTTCAGTTTAGTTTGTCTGTTTTCAAAGAACTCCAACCTGTAATTTAAATGACAAAAATAATTATACAATATTTACTTAGTTATTGTAACTTTTTAGTATAATGTTTTCTATGTTACAATTATGCTAGCTGAACTGTACGTATTATGTGTTAATGAAATACTTTGTATGTGGCTGGCGCGTAACAAACGTTACAATTCAATGCATTCTCCGTCAATTATAATCTGTTGCGTTTTAATTAAAACGCTCACGTAAATGATTACACTGACGTGTTAATTAACGCTTATGTATTATGACTTTACTCAGTATTTTGAAAATTTTAATATGAAGATTATTTGGAATTGCTTCTGTGAGTTGTCTATTATTGTTCAATTTTACTATACACAAGATTTTATTGTTTTAATCTTAACAATTTATCGTATAAATAGAATTTGAAATATCTTACATAGCTTGAATCACTCAAACTGTTTAAAAAATGTATATTAAAGCAATAAAAAAAAGAAAATTTTGTATGTAAACTTTTCTTGGATAACTCAACGAGAATTGCAAATTGTTAATGATTCAGTGACATCATTTATGTAAGTCAAATTAACTAAATTCCTTACATATAGTCCAAGATCCCGCAGCAATTTACGGAGGTTCAAAGTCAGGTCATTAACAAGGCAGTCGGCAGTTGGTCAAAGAGTCTGTTTACTGAACAATCAAGTCCAGCATTTACAGCTACTTGATATTGTGTTGTAGCAACAACGTGTAACGGTCCCGGGTGCTAATTTCTATCTCGTGATAATCAAATTCGACGCTTCACAAACATGTCGATATTAAATTGAATAAACAAGAATATTTTTTTTATAACTTAATTATCTATGAAAACAAATAATTAAATTATAAACTTTATTCGTATTCAAAGGACCTTATTTATTGAATTGTTTTTAGATTCTAATATTTAGTTTGTAATATTAACGACTAAAGTATTTATTTACTTACTTAAGTAAACTTTTCCTTAATTTGGATATTTCCTTCATTATTATAAAAGTTTAGAAAATACGTTATATATCATTGTAGGTAAGCGACGTCGCGGTGACACCATTAGTTTAATTTATATTAAAATACACGTTTACTTAGTAGCCTCAGATTATGGGTTTATTATACTGCCTAATGGCGTTAGACATAAATAAATTACTTTGCTTAACAATATGTAAATGTCCGCAGTTAACAATTAAGTATCTTAAAGTAACGATACTTAATGTAATGTGACTAATCGCCAAGTCACATAATGTCATGGCTTAATACTTAACCAAATGCTATACGAACATTTATTTAAAAACAAACTATCAGTTAAAGAATTTCATTAAAAGTGACTACTATTCGTCGTAATATATGTATGATCTTATATTATTTACTACTATTTGCTATTTGCACATTATACCCAAAAATATAAAATATAGTAAATTGTTTATTACATGTACTTTGAGAAAAATAAACGAAGCAGTAAATATTCCACAGTCATACCAACAAGACAATAATACAATTAATTTTGAGTTAATTGCTTCTACATTACAATTAAAATTATTTTTTCACGCTGACATTTAACAGGGGACTAAAAGGTAAGGTAACAACATTGTAGTTACACGAATGCTTTATGTTAGTCTAAAGTTAGACCTTAAGTTAATGTTTATATTGATCATAATTAATTTAGTTGATAATTTTTTTATTTAATTATCAACTTTATGACCGCAGCCACAAAACCTGGCACAACAATTAAAACATTAAATTGAAATATCGTTATACGTTTTTCTTCGAAACTACTTAATAATTAAAATCTATAGAAAAACGTTGCCCGGTAAGATTCCGAGAGAAAGCCGTGTACGAGCAATTTAAGTTCAATTCCTGGATCCGGATTACGCTCTGATTTACCACGTGCGAGTTGGAAAAGAAAAACATCGTGTGCTGATCTAGATTCGAATATAATATACTCGTATATTATATTCATCTTACGAAGTCTATATAGTAACTTACCACTCTGCTTATTCTCCTAAAACAAAGTTACGTAATGAAGAACATGCGTCTTCCGTCTAGAAAGCGTGCAGTAATCATTATTATTTGAACTCATTTGTTTTAATTTGAACCATTAACTTATTTGAAGACTAAATCCCCGTCTTAATTGAATACCGGGATCGTTGGAACAAATCGTTACACGAGCGGCTACGAGCGAGTCAGCGCCTCGGCGGAAGCAGTCGTCAACATGATAAGTGCATTAGCATTATTATCTCGATAATTACTTGCTTGCATTTGGCCCAAATAAACGTGGTCGCTTTTAACTTCTTCGATTACCTTCGATATACGCTCGTTCCACGAACGATTACCAGCACCGAATGTATTCCGACGCCCTCTGGACTGTTTGAACTATTACTTACCGCCCAGTTAAGTAGCTCGGAGTGCTCAAGTAGTCGGTTGCGCGTTCCAATACGACGATGTGTTTGCTCGCCCAATGTTCAACACTGGAATCAGCTTCCTCAAAGTGGTAGCTTAATCAACTAATGTATGCACATTTAGTTACCACAACAAAAAGGCTTCTAATGCGGGGTAATGGGACACATAAAACTCCTATACCGCATCTACAAGGTCAATTAAGTTATCGTGAGCGCTGTCGGGAAGTTTGTTTTAAAAACAAATAAGTACTTGTTGCTTTTTAGGCATAATCTCTGTAGGAAGTATTTTAAATTGTGTCAATTTATATGAATAAAATTGTTTACCTGGTAATATGTAGGAAGTATATTTAGAATTCATTAACCGACTTGTATAAAATAAATTAAGTGTATAACCGTGAGTCGACGGTGTCGGTGGGCGATTAGGATCGTGCGTGATGCGTGCGAGGTGCAGCGTGGCGGGCAATCAGCGTGCCGCCATTACTCCGCGCCGCATAACCGTTCTCATTAACCCGCTACCCGTCTGCTGAGATTGTTTCCAATCCCTGTTTCCTCTAAAAATAATCGTATTGCAACGAAATACACAAATTAGGATAGGGAAAGCGATGTATTCTAAAACATATAACGTATAATCGTAATTTGTAAACGTTTTGCAAGTTATATTAGGATTACGTAAAAGGAGCCGAATTTAATGATCTTAAGATAGTTGTGAGACGGCAGCTTTCGAGATAAGCAGCTATGATTCACAGCATTGTGTCCGTTTGGACATACGTCTCGTCGGAGGCATACAATGGTCCTTCAATTTCCATCAAGCATCGATACGGTGGAGACGAGCTCGACTGCAATTCGCATAAAACGGTATTCTTATTCCAATTTACATTCGTCGCCCGTAATGCCATCGTCAGACCATTCGTACAGACCAGACCTTGACAGACAACACTGATTTATGAAGCTATGTTGTGCCTAATTAAAGTATAATAACTATAAAAGTAAATGTTATGTTAATATTCTTCCGGTTTGTAAAAAAACATAATGAAGTATTTATAAGAAACGAAACTAATTAGGAACTTTTAAAAAAAGTTAAACGTGTTATTATAATATTTTCCTTGAGCTTTTTGAGACATTCGATATTTTGATCTTGTTTTAAAAATTGGTCTAGTTTCTATGTTTTTTCCTCATAAGACAGTTATTTGTAAAAAGGGTTGTTTGGGATAGCGATCGACGTAGCCATGCCATGCGTTTGCAAGAAATAAGAAAGAGCCGTATTTATGCGCATGTAATTTGGCGCGGTAGTCCTCTACGGCCTCGCGGGACTTCGCTTCTTATCGCTGAGAATGTTTTTATTTCGAACACTTTATTGTCGCTGCGTTCCGAAGGCTTTTTGCGCGATCATCAATTTCCGCGCCTCATCGATTGATTTATTCATGAAAGACCCTCGCCTTCACACAGGAAGTGTCTTTTTTGGACGTCGCGTTGCTGAAATTTGTAATGAAGCTCATTCGAAAACAATGCCTTATTTATTATCGAGTACCGAGAATTCATGTAGGTAGTTAAGACGACCAGGTGGTACTTAAAAAAGTCTTATTAAGTGTAATAAAGTTTTAAAAATCATTTGAAAATCCAATATACGCGTTTTATATATTCGCTACAGAGATTTATCAGAAAAAAAAACGATTTACAATCATGTGAGCAGTACAAGTACGTAAAGGAAGAATAACATCCAAAATAACAATGGCTGCCTACGTCACCGATGGAAATTACGTTTGGAATAAGTTAGAGAGAATCAGATAGGCGAGTGCTGCAGCGACCGATCCGTCAATGTCGGCCCGAGTTTGCATTACACGGCTTTTATCTGCGCGCGCTCGCTTTAAATCGCAAACATCAGCGGGATTGTTTACCAAATTGTTTTCAATAAGCTTTAAGTAATGGTGTAACCGCAAGTCGAGAGTTGCGCCGACGCGGCTGGCTATCTGCATACCGCGGCGAGATTTATTAGCAGATTAGGCGTTCTTTAACGATTTATAGCTTTTTATCGCGTTACATAAGTAAGGCGTGTTACAATGAAGCGGGCAGATAATGATGTCGTCGTTTCCTAGTTTAATGTTCTTTGTGCGAATGTCGCGTGGGCCCGCGACGCGACGCGACACGCCAAGCGACACGACAAGCGGCGCGGCCGCGGCTGGCGCGCGCGCCCTCACGTAACGAGCTGCGGCACGCGATCGCCACTAAATTAGCGGGTTTTTCTTCCGCCGATCCCACGCGCAGGAAATCGCGAGAAAACGCAGTTTTTCATTTCTCTATGCGAACTGGATCTCCACGCCTTTATGTAACGACACCGCAGCCCGCTAACCCGCGCCCCCGCGCCCCCCTTGACCCCTGCGGGCTAGCGGCCAGACCGACTTGCCGTACAATTAAGATTTCCACTTTTTGCTTACTTTTATTGCTTCACTTCATGGAAACTTTATTGTCGTGAACATGTATCCGTTGATATGTATCTTACAGAAGAAATCGCACTTTTTCTAAATGTCTCTCACTCAAACCAGCTCTCGGCTTATTTTATATTCCAACAAATGGTTACTGCAACGACTTACCTACTGCGATACTTCGTAATGTGCAACATTTGAGATTTATCTCGATCCGTAGTATGTACGGAGCGACGTATGTATGCGTTAACGCGATCGCTTATCGTTATCATAATAAATGTCGTGTTGACTGTCGACTTATTTGTGTCCATTTCCATAGGTTTTCTCCGTACGGATTCAAATACCACCTCGAGACGGCCAGCAGTAGTTCCCAGCGACGCGAAGACGATCGCATTACCTACATCAACAAAGGCCAGTTCTACGGCATCACGCTTGAGTACGTCCACGACCCAGACAAGCCCCTTAAAAACCAAACAGTTAAGGTAAGTTACATTTTTAATCGACTTGACCGGCCATAATTATTCACACATTATGTACAATAAAATATTTGACAGCACTTCTTTAGTATTAATCGTGTAGCAGAATTTAATAAGCCAATAAATTAAGATTTACAAAAATAAGAATCTATGCTTGTCAAAAGAAATTTTGATCACGTAATAAATTACATAGAAGATATGTAAGTAATAAATATGTTTTGATTAGTTGGAAAAGGAAACTCATTTAATTTATTTCAAATCTAAGATTGTACAGTTAATGAAGCAGTTAACTGGACCTGTTCGGTTATTTCTCTAGCAACAACCAGTTTAGGAATTAAGTCATTAAACGCAATATCACTTATTTCTAATTAATATGTAATTACATATTTAATATGCTAGATTAAAGAAAATCCTCATTGTGATTAATTCTAACTGATTTGTGAAATCTTTTCGTTTAATGGAAGTACGTTATATTTTCAAAAGCCAAACATTTTTGTGCTATTCGAAAGTTTCAACATTGCTCAAAGAAAAGACATCAACGAGACTACTCATTAAGTCATCGCGAGTGGAGGGACTTTGTCGTTATTTGATTACTGAGTCCCTTAGCGAAGCGATGGCCGGATGTTTACCTCTCTTAGACGATAGAAAGCCTAACAGACTATTTGAGGCACGGGCCGTCATTAAATAACTACGATGCGCCGCTGAACGACTCTATTTAAATTGTGTAATATACGTTCTTATTGTGTTAACTTTGATGATTTAATGATGAAACTATTTTTATTACTTACTATTTGGTTTAGTGCTAAGATTTTTATATACGCAAAGGTTTGGGTATGTGATTAAGATAAAAAATAAATAAATATCTTTTTGTTAATAATAGAAATAAACGTGTAATTGTTCCTAATAAATAATTAATGTTAATATTTAAAAATTCCAAGAGAATAGTGAGTGATTAGTAATTGCAACCTTTACTTGGAATATGAGAATGCATTCAATTATGATGTATTTTCACAGTTTATCTAAACGTATTAGTTAAAATCCCCATATACAAGACATTAAATAGGTAATCTATGTAAATGTATTGACTCATTTGTTTGAACACCAATCTTATACAAAAATGACTCTGCTATTGCTGTACAATGTACAAGAAATAAAAAAAAAAAACATTGTCAGCGCATAACTCTACGATGCGACACTAACAAAGTGGTGTCGCCAGATCCCGGTGTGAAAGCGAGGGTCCCGACCGCAGTCGCGGCTCGGTTTCACTGCTCCCGGTTGCATTACGTGTTCGCCTTCTACGACTCACTTTCATAACCACTTATTTTTTGCATAGTTTTATTTGTTCGTAATTCTGTGAAACTAAATATGACAATATTATTGCTACAAATAGGACTTAAGTATTTCCACTATCTAAGAAGACAATTAATACTTTTAGCATATGTCTAGGTAATCAGTTAAAAAACAATTTACAAAATTGATATAAGATTTTTCGCAAATATCGAAGAAAATTAATAAATATGAAACTATTAATTTGACAAATATTTAACAAGCGAATAATTAAGCAGTCATAAAACAATCTAGCATCGCGTGAGAATAACCAGTTTTTGTTTGGAATTATTAATATGAAAAAATAGTGACCAAGAAAAAGTGATGTATTCTGTTTACCTACAATTTTCTCATATAAATGGGTAATCCCCATAAAGAATTTCCCGACATTTCCTTTGAAATGACATAATAACTAGAATAACGGGGTTAAACGTCTTATTTCTTACTTGTTTTGAACAATTAAACTAGAAAATCCGGACTACACACTCTAATACTAATTGCTGTTAATTTACCCCAACACTATTGTATGAAGACGTATCTTCCGTTCCCATCATTACAAGGGATAGCATAACAATGCAGGTAAGCGAACACAAATATGTAATTAATACTTAGATCGATCGTAAACAATATGCGTCATGAAATATTCCGCAATAATTGAATTTTCCTTCGTTTTTCTTGCGACGTGTATCGTATTCGAGCGCACTTTATCTCGATTCAATGGAGTTAGATCGGAATAATCAGAGATACAATGCGACATACGTTTGAAGTTATTATTAAGGCAGCAAGTGGGCCGCGCGTCCGGCGCATTCAATAACGACTCGGATAGATACACGCCGCTTATCTCGCCGCAATCGAGTGCGCATTGTATGGCCGCGCCCGATAATTAAGACGACGGTTTTGACATTCGCCATATAGGAACACAATGACCGCCCCGGGAGCGCGCCGCCTCGGCCCAGGCTCGCCTCGCCTCGCCTCGGATAATATCGCTCCCTGAAACAATAACCTCGCCGCATTATGATAAAATAATTTCAATGCGCCAAACATCATGTTTCCTTAACGAGCAACTTTTTGCCTTTTCGAACATAATGTCAATACTCGTACTTGTATCCGAGCAACATTGAGATTATTAAAGGTTGTTCTTTAAGAAGTTTTAACAATACAAATATTGCAGTTATTTTGTAATGCTATTATTTTTGGTTATATTAATATTTCTATATCTATGCCTGCATCTAGAATAGATAACACGAGATGATAAGGTCTAAATAGCGTTGTATAACTATTATAAAGTAGCGTTATGGTGGGAAAAGTATGACATAGAATACTGTATTTATTTACAATAAGAACTTTTATTTAAATTTGTTTATTACCACCGCATATGCAAATCTTCTGGTGTTATAGAATATGATATAAAAACATTTACAAAAAACGCGGTAGAATAATTTTATGATGTTTATCTGTAGATATCTAAAGATAAAAGTAATAAAAATGAGGTGGCTAAGCTTCCTTGGCATATTATGAGATTATAATAATTTTTGTAATCATTATTAGCTTCTTAATTAACTAAGTTTGTTTACGGGAATAAAGATAATTTTATGAGTAATGATTATTATCGACATTCAATATCCCATGTATTGAATGTCAATTATGATCATTAGTTATTGCCGTGGCTGACAATTTAAATTCACACGCGATGCGAATGTTTCGCGTGTCCGTGAGCTGTTAGGAGGTACAAGAAAATTCGGTAAAAAGAGAGATTTGGGCGCACGGAGCGTGAGTGGCGAGGCTGTAATTACGGCCGGCACCGCCCCGCCCCGCCGCGGCGCAGCTTTGCCCACCACCGCCGATATCATCGGACAGATTTACTCCGAATGAACCTTACGGCGACCTGTGTACGAGGTTTTGCACCTAATTAAAGGTACCACGTCGCAAGTACAATCGGCCCACCTCGTCCTTACTTTTCGCACGCCACGTCTGCCATTTACATTTGAATGAACATGATAAATATAATTTTAAAATGTTCTCCGAGAACATCTAAGGATGAAAAAATACTTTATGTGCTTTGGTACGAAAGAAAATCGATCAATCACAGAATATGAGTGCAATTAATCACCTCGCTAGTGAACGCGACGTACGTGATGTTTGATATTCTCGTCATTTTAAGGGTGCATTATAATGATTGCTAAAAAAATGTTGGTTTTGCACATTTATTGTTGTATTTTCAATTCAAATCAAATCATTATAGTTAGTGTGACAATGTCTTATCTCTCAAAATTATGTGTTTATAAAAAAATATGTATCTTTACAGACTTAATATTAATGTCATTGTTTTAAATTTTAATTTTCTTTCAACTTTTTTAAGCACGCAATATATTAAACGTTTTTATGACAAACTGACACTGGGTCGATGAAGTCGAGTAGAAGATCGTTATCTATTTGCAATATGTAATTTACATACGAATGATATTTAATACCTTTTAAGCGGCCGTAATAAACTTCCGCTTATCGTTTTATTCTCGAGCGCGATTGAACCGCGTCTCGCATGTCCGCGGCGACACGGCGCGGCAGCCGGGGCGCGGCGGTGGCGGCGTGGCGCTGCTGTTCATTGAGAGCGCTTTTTGCTCTATTTCTTGTCGATGCGCCGACATCATTGTGCTCACTTTCGTAGCAACGGAAACTCGCGTAACGAGCAGCGCCGTTGTATTCTTTTCTTTTTGCAATATTTAACGATTTTAATGATTGCTCCGGTTTGCCTTTTTAAGGCGTTCGTTAATGATGCCTTTTACACTCGACATGTTATGCTCGATGAGGGATTATAACGGTCGGCATTCGGAGCGCTCGGCTCCCGCCGCGCCCATTCTGCGGACGTCGTCGTCGCCGTGCCGCACACTGAAGGGCTGTCATATGAGACAGATCGAATAATTCTCACAGGGCGCATTGACGTGTAATGAAATTTTATATCCGACGCTAACAGAAAGAGTTCTTTAATGTATGAACCTATAACAAAAAATGTGAAATTTGCATATGTTCGTTTGATATTTGGAAGATGCCAGTCATGGTCTCGATCAATCACGCGTTGAGATCTCAATTTAGCGTGCACCCCTGTCACGGCCGCGAGCCGCACCCCGCACCCCGCACCGCTCCTTGCCAGTCCTTCCGACAGAAAAACGTTAATGATTATAAATTGCACTGATTATGCACCGACACATAGTCCATGGTACTGCACTTTCATTTAGTCACTTAAATAAACGATTTCATTCTTTGCTTAATCGAAAGTAATCAATAAAGCGGTTTTGTATATTTGCAACATTAATTCGCAAATCTTTTAAATGTCTGAATTGATAGAGTTTGTAACGTGTTTAAATTGATTAGTCGTTACAGACGTCTAGTAAAAAATAATATTTGGAATTTAGCCGTTTTTTTATTACATCTTAATTTTACTGAAACGACCTTGAATAATTTGCTCTTATGAACTTAGGCTTCGGTACGTGTTTTTCCATTTAGCAAATGTAAATAAACATGAGCCGTAATTGGCTTTAAACAGTGATTTATTGAGTGGTCAACATATGTAAATGGCGGACAGTGTTACAAAAATCTTACTATAACTTTATCGGCTCACCTAAAGTTATTTATCACTGCCGCCTCGCGTTAATATAATGTACTTTTTATGGCTTTCCTTATTT